AACAGATGTACCTACACTTTGGAATAGATACAAAGAGACAATGATTGAGGACTATATACACAACAATGATATAGATCCTGAAAATATGGCTTTGAATTATATAGAGGAAATTATGAAAATTAATGGAAGCAGCTGTGAAAATTTTCAATTGCCAAATCCATATCCGGTAAATATTTACAGGCAAGAATATATTGTTGAAGAGGAAAGGCAACGTGGTAACTATATGTTATCAAAACTAAATGTGGAACAAAAAAAAGTATACGATTCGATAATGAGAGCAATTGACAATGAGAATGAACCTGAGAGATTATTTTGTATTGATGGGTTTGCTGGTAGTGGGAAAACCTACCTGTTTAACACATTAATAGGAATAATCCGAGGAAGAAACGAGGTGGTTCTACCATGTGCCTCAACTGGCATTGCTGCCACACTTCTAAAGGGAGGAAGGACGTATCACTCACTGTTCAAGTTGTCCATCCCAATTGATGAAAGTGCCAAATCAAATATTAGAGAAAATTCTATGCATGTGCGAGAACTAATTGCTGCAAAACTCATTATATGGGATGAGGTGAGTATGACTGTAGGACATGCTCTAGGAGCAGTTGATAAACTATTAAGGGATATAATGAAGAATCCAAGATTATTTGGGGGAAAAGTTATTTTATTTGGAGGTGATTTCAGACAAAATCTACCTGTAGTGCCACATGCACAGAAAGCTGCAATCATTGAGTCCACTGTTAAATATCATACAATATGGAGAAATGTAATTCAAGTAAAACTTAAGCAAAATATGAGAACTGGAGAAGAAAGAGAATTTGCTAATTGGTTGTTGCAAGTCGGTGATGGTAAATTGTCGAATATTGATGAATTAAATCAAGATATAATAGAAATTCCAAACGATTTTATATCAGAACAGTCTCTAATTACAGATATTTTTGGAGATCAATTCAGTATAGAACAGGTTCGACAAAATCAGGATCGAGCAATTCTATGTCCTAAGAATGAGGATACATTTAAAATAAATGACGAAATCCTTCGTTTAATGGAAGGAGAAGAAAAGGAGTATCTCTCAATTGACTCTATTATGAGTGATGATCCACAGGAAGAATTGAATTACCCGACTGAGTTTATAAACTCATTGACACCCACCGGAATGCCAGTTCATCGACTAAAAATAAAAATAGGTGCAATAATTATTCTACTAAGGAATTTTAATACGAAAAAAGGGCTATGCAATGGCACAAGATTGATTGTAATTGATTTAAAATCTAATTTAATTCATGCAGAGGTTCTGACTGGCCCTGCAAGAGGACAAATTGTTTTGCTCCCAAGGATAAATTTCCTTCCGAGTGACTCGGATATTCCGTTTAAACTAAAAAGGAGACAATTTCCTATTAGAGTGTCATTTGCAATGACAATAAACAAATCACAGGGACAAACCTTAGAAAAAGTTGGGATTTATTTGCAGAATCCAGTATTTGCACATGGACAACTGTATGTAGCATTTTCAAGAGCAACAAAAAGAGAAAATGTTAAAGTAAAGGTCGTTGATAACAAAAGTCAAGGACATCTGATTATGGGAAGTTCAAAAATATTTACGAAAAATGTGGTATACAAAGAAATTTTATAAATTGACGAAAAATAAAATTTAAAGGAAATAAAAAATGGGTGATCAATGGTATTTAAAATTGCAAAAAAAAATAAAATCATAAATAATAGAGATGGTTGGAAAAGATAAATATTGGAGAGTACGCAGATCACGTCACATTCGAGCGAAATTTGATAGAAAAAGAGAGCGTAACGGGAGGGGGGACAGAAGGAAAGTGTAACGCGTACGGAGCGGACAGAAGCAAAGTGTACGGAGCGTAAAGAAAATAAAAAAATAAACAATAAACACGAAAGTGCGCAGGAGAGAGTATTTCGTGGGATTAATAAAAAAAAATATATAAAGAGCAAGATTAGAAGGTATGTATAAGGAATAATGAGAGTGGTTAGGGATTAATTATATCTATAAATAGATTATAGATTAATAAAAAAATACGAGAAAAGAAATCAAGTTCAACTGTTACGTAATTTATTTTTGTGAAAATGCGGAGAAGAAAAAATGCATTGTGCGCTGTGCGCAGTAGGTATTATAAAAAATGCATTCTGCGCTGTACGCAGGAAGAATTATGAAAATCCATTCTGCGCTTTACGCAGTGAGTATTATTAAAATGCATTCTGCTCTGAGGTAAGTGAGTATTATGAAAATGCATTCTGCAATGAATGCAGTGAGTATGATGAAAATGCATTCTGCGTTTTACGCAGTGATTACTCTGAAAATGGATTCTGCGTTAAACGCAGTGATTACTATGAAAATTAATTGTGTGATTAAGGAGAATTATGGGTTCTTCAATTTGCCTAAAGAAATCAAGTTCAACTGTTACGCAATTTATTTTTGTGAAAATGCGGAGAAGAAAAAATGCATTCTGCGCTATGCGCAGTGGGTATTATAAAAAATGCATTCTGCGCTGTACGCAGGAAGAATTATGAAAATCCATTCTGCGCTTTACGCAGTGAGTATTATTAAAATGCATTCTGCTCTGAGGTAAGTGAGTATTATGAAAATGCATTCTGCAATGAATGCAGTGAGTATGATGAAAATGCATTCAGCGTTTTACGCAGTGATTACTCTGAAAATGGATTCTGCGTTAAACGCAGTGATTACTATGAAAATTAATTGTGTGATTAAGGAGAATTATGGGTTCTTTAATTTGCTTTCGAGCGTACAATGATAAACAAGAAACGGAAGATTTCTAGCTTTAGACCTCATAGTTAGATTATTTA